TTGACATGTCGAAAAAAAATAATGCCATGTCGAAATATATTTAGACACTAATTGCCTAAATGGTTGACTAAATTAAGTATTTCGACTAACAACATTACCCGGGTCAATCAATACCTGACCCGCCCGGGTAAGACCTCTATATATATAGCCCCTAATTTATTATAAAAAATCCGTTCTGCCAAATCCGGTTCGTTATAGCCCGATTTCAGGTTCGGTATATCCAGAGTCGATCGTATATAAATTTATTATACAAAAAGATATCCAAATTTTAGTATCATATTTGAATTGTAAAAATCCGTGTTGATAGCATTTTCCTAATTTGTTTCTATATGGTCGTATGATAGTGGCCAACTAATTATTGCTACTTTAATCGGCAAAAAAAAAAACAAGTTTTCGGAAAGCGCTTGTTATCTGTTTTCGGAAACTTGTTTTTTTCCACTGATTAAAGTAGCAATTATTAATTGTTAAACCACCGTCATGACATCATACAAACGAAAATAACGTCCTTATTTCCCACTATGAGGAAATAACTCAGTAGATCTCCGGCCACATGAAACTTCGGGTCTCATATAACCGGGTTTTTTTATTCCCGTATGACCAATCGCCGAAAAAGTTAGTCAATACCCTACGTCCTAAAATGTTTATCTCTCTTACGCCTCGGATCAATTAACATATTCCTACAACCGAAACGATTAATAAGCAGATTAACGTAAATTTATGATACTATTATATATCAGTTAGGCTAAATTATCGTGTTAGAAATTAACCTAAAAGACAATCATTTTTCAAGCATTCGGATCCTAGTCAATGCAAGGGTGAATATCTTGATAAGTATAATCAATATTATTAATGGGATGAGAAAAATTTAGGTTTAAATTAAATAATATATTATATATATTTGAATTGATTTCATCCCTCATTGGATCAATAAATAAATAATAAAGGCGGACATTAAATACGGTATGTGTGGAGATGAAAAATAAAAATAGAGATGATTGAGGATAGGTAGTTATATAAAGAAACCGAATAAGATATGATTATGATAATGTAATGCTCAAACTCCCAATGAGTTGAGAAGAATAAGGGAAATTCATTTCATAAGACAATTAGACCCAGCTAATCCCTTGTGGTCCAGACCTATCAACGGATTTTTCCGTCAACGACTAGTTAGCTTGCATGCTGTTGGGACAGTCCTTGGACTAAAAAAAAGGATAAATTAAATTAAATAACAAGAGTAACAAATATAGATAATTCAATAATGTACTTACAATATGGCCGCGTTCGCTACAACGATAACATGTCTTGACAGATTTATCACCTGATCCTTGAGAGGTAGGGCAGTCACGAGACTATAGGGAATAACGTGATTAATGAGTAATGTCAATACAGAACGCGAATAAAAGATATCACTTACGATATGACCGAAACGTCCACAATTGTAACATTTAACACCATTTGCTTGGCAATCTCTTGCGAAATGGTTGAACCCGCCACATTTGTAGCAAATAACACGACCCCCACCATACCCACGATGACCCCGGTTTCCTCCATGTCCTCCATGATAATTGTTGGTGGAGCAATTACGAGCCAAATGACCCTAAAATAAATAAATAGAATAATTTTAACTCATGCATTCGTTAAAAAAAAGTGGTAAAACTTGAAATATGACGTACAAAACGACCGCAATTGTAACAACGACCACCAGCACTGCCGCTACCATTTACACGAACGGAGGGACAGTCAGCTTGAAGGTGACCAACTGTTTAAACCAAATAAATCAAATAATTGTTAGATGATGTAATAACTTGTAAAAGGAGTATTTTATGATCGTCTATTATCTACCAATCAAACGTATTGTCCGAGTTAAACTCAGCTCTTTTACATAGATAAAAAATATCATTCATACATAACTAATTAGTAATAAAAATTTATTCAATGCTTACCGCCACCACAAGAATAACATTGTTTGGCGTCGGCAGTCCTAGGTTGAGGGCATTGGTTAGCCTCGTGGCCAGGCTGCTTACAGTTATAGCATAATCTTTCAGGTTCTGGGCAAGAGTCAGCAAAATGCCCAACTATTATTTAACAATAATAAAGTTTCTTTTTTCAGTTATACTAGGTAATGAGATAATAAAAAACATATCGCGAACATACTTAATAGAGTACAGGATGATGAATCGCAGCGATGATTGCAATCATCTGAGACTTTGCGCTTTTCATCGTCTACCCGAACTATTTTTATATTGCAACGTTAAAAAACGACTACTGACCGTTACCACATTTGAAGCAACCTCTTCTATTGAAAGCCATTTTTTTTTTTTACTCAACCAAAAATTCGAATAACTTTAGAAAAATTGTGAACAAAAAGGGATGGACTTCTTCTATAGACTGCTACCCCTTCGTCAACAACTTTATATAACAACTAATCGACAACAACAACAGCTTCCGCCTTATAATAGAGAAGGGTATGGTGAAAATATAGTCCTTCTTTATTATGAAGAACTGACAAATTAATTGGGAATAAAAATATGCGAAACATATTAATTTATATTTATGTAGGTGTTTAATTAATGTGATGGGTTAGTAAGCCAATTGGCTAAGGTTATTAACGTTAAATGCGAAAATACTCCGGGTTCAATTCAAGATCCTATCGCATTAAGATTATATGCGTTGCACCGATAAACCTTGCACCGTCCTACTGTTAATCTATGCTTGATCACATCACATCTAAAAGGTTTCTTGTCATACGAAAAGATCGTCAGAGACAAATGAACTTCCAAAAGGCAATTAAGTACGTACGTACGTACGTGTACGTACTTACGCACGTACGTTATGTGCGTATATATTTATATATATCTGATATGTACTTATCGGACCGAAAAGGTTAAAAAGTTCTAGTCTTAAGAGAGCAAAATCATAAAGCCTCTTAATCGTTTTTGCGGATCGCATTCCGATTCGTAAAGGTTAATGAACAAGAGACTTACCTTTATGCATTGATTTTGCCAGTTTATCAAGGGGTTTCTCATGTTAAATTGCTGACTAATTAATAAAAAGTACATATATTTTATTTTAATCACAATTAACGTTAATTAAAATTAAAACGGCGGATAAAATTTTAAAAGACAATTTGATACCGAATGACCATGGCGTGATACGAATTTTTCTCCAAAAGAAATCCGTGTAACTCTGGTGACAATATTTGTATGAACACGTGAGAAGTGAATTTTTTAACATGTACGTGCGTAAAACTTTGCTAATTTTAGAAAACAGGAAAAAAAAATTTTATAAATTAATAATTAACGTTATTAAATAAAAAAAATTTAAAAGTAATAGCGATCAACTTTTAATATTTGGAATAAAACATATATATATATTCACAAATTTATTGACAATCTAGAAATTTGTATAAATATCGACCCAAATCAAATTTTTATTACATGGTAAGTGTATGGAATATTAAGTAATCATGGGTCATCAAGGAATAAGACAAGGGTAAACCACAATAATTTACCCCTCAACACCTACAGTATATTTCCAACACCCTAATAAAAAAATTTTATAGACAAAACAAAAACTCAGATTTCTACAAATGCTCTATTATGAATCTGCATCTGAGTGAAATGAAAATAAACAACTAATAAAAGGAAACATGAATTCCATCATTTAAACAAGCCATCCTATACATGTATAATATTTAGATTGGCATCTCAATATCTTTATAATTTTATGATACCCAAATACATAATCATGTTGAAAGAAGGAATGAACTGCTTATAATAATGTTAAATATGTTATAAATGTGATATGATTAATTTAGTCGTCTTTTGGCTCGGTGGTCTCCTCTTCTTTAGGAGCTTCTGCTTTATCGTCTAAAAATTGATAAAATATATATCAACATTTTTTAATTTAGGACAAATAAACATTTAATTATTTAAAAAAATAGCATACTGCTGTCCGGCAAGTCTGATGTCCAGAGTGTCAAATTATCTCTCAATAATTGCATGATTAACGTCGAATCCTTATAACTTTCTTCACTAAGGGTGTCCAATTCAGCAATGGCGTCATCGAATGCTTGTTTAGCCAAATGGCAAGCTCTATCAGGAGAATTCAGAATTTCATAATAAAAGACAGAGAAGTTAAGGGCTAATCCCAATCGAATTGGATGAGTAGGAGCAAGCTCAGTGACAGCAACATCACTAGCAGCTTTATACGCATCCAAGGACTTGTCAGCAGATTGTTGACGTTTATCTCCAGTAGCGAATTCAGCGAGATATCTATGATAATCTCCTTTCCTATAAAAAAAAAAATATATTATATACATATTAAAATTTGGTAAACATTTACTAATAAAATCAATTAAAGAAAAAAAAAATCATACTACAAACATTTTGTGATAAAATACTTTAGATTCACCAGTTGCGGCAGATGGAATCAGGTGATTATCTAATACTTGCAAAATATCGTCACATATCTTAGTCAATTCATCCTCGATCTTTGAACGATATTCTTTGATGTAGCCAACTTGAACGTCATTGCCCTTAGTTTCTTCTTTTTGTTCAATCGAAGATACAATACGCCAAGAAGCCCTTCGGGCACCAATTACGTTTTTATATGCAACAGATAAGAGATTGCGCTCTTCAACAGTGAGTTCTTGGTCAGCAGAAGCGACATTTTTCATGTTTTCCACCATTTCTGGCAGATTGGAAATGTTATTTAGATTAATATAATTGATAAAAAAATAAATATCTTGTATTTTATTATATATATATTATATATATATATTATATATTATATATATTATATATATTTGGTTTTTTTTTCTTTATTTTAAAAAGTTATAATATGACGCAACATATTATATATTATTTAACTCGATTTTGTCCGAGTAAATTTAAATATTAAATGCAAATCTAATGAAAGCTGTTATAAATCCTCGGTTTTCAGGAGTACTCAGATGACCTCTTGTAGAGCGAACTTAACTCAGTGTAAACTTGGTAAGTTTTAATCTTCACCAAAGTTTTTGACATAAAAGTATGCTTATAATTTAAAAAGAATTACTAGACTATGAACCCTGATGTGGTTCATGGATTTCACAAACTCTCACCTTCATAACGCTCGGCTTGCTCAGCGAGCTTAGCGAGATAAACGTAATCTTCGCGTGTTTCGACTACGGTCATAGTGATTAGCTGAATATAGACGTTTAAAAAATTATCGTGGACGGGTTTGTGGAAATACGGTAGGCGAGAGGAATAAAGATGGAGAATATTAATAGTATAATAAGCACGAAAATAAATAAAGATGACCAATGTTTCGCAAAAGAATACAAGTCTTTGTCTACAACCAAACGGATGGATGTAGGGTGACCGATTCAACTCGCCAAAGTAACGTTTAGTTTTGGTGCGTTGTACTTGTGTTGCAATGAAAGAACCTAACAGAGTTCTCCAGGTTATCGATGTTGCATCATCGGTCACACACATCATATGATCATATCTGGTCAGTCGGACTTGTAAACTCCTTGTGATCTTTGTGTCACAGAGTATTCCAAATGTGCATAAATGATTAAATGATGAAAAAAATGTTAACGTACGATTATCGACCAGATACGTACGTACGTAGTTAAACCTTATTTTATCCGTTATCGTTATGATGCCAGTTTCGTTTAGGAAATTTGATCGGAGGTCGCCTGCGGACCAACTGATTACGAATATCGAATCAGGTGTAACGTAAATAATTCAAAAAAAAAACATTAAAATTTTGTCTATCGATATAATATGAAACGACCTTCTTTGCCTAATAAAAAAAAAAAAAAAACTTGCAAAATTTTGGTATAAACCTATACCCGCGTACACATACCCCAACTCCGATTATTTCATGTTACACCTAATAATTGCGGCAGGCCTTTAAATAATACGTACAAAAAATAATACTAAAAATAATACTAAAAATTAATATAACACAAGGTTTAACTTAATAATTCCAAACAGGGTCTTTAATTAATGGCTACAGCCTGTTCATCGAATGTTCATTTGTTATTAGTTTGTTTTACCGACTGTTAGTTTACCAAAAAATACCTATCACACAAAATTAAACTGTTTTTGTGAAATAAACATCTTGTAAACTAATTGTATACAAAATGCTGTGAATTTCAATGTAAATTATTTGTCCGGAACGTAACGAAGACGTAACATACGTACGTACGTACTGTACGAGATTGCATCCGTAAAATGTGAGGCGCCATAGTGGCTTGATAGGAATTAAATTCTCCCGAAGATCTAGCATTCTTATCGTAAAATAAATAATTTATTCATCGTGGCAGCTCAAATTTTTTATAATATCTATGGCCTCTATATGATATTAAACACTTTAAATGTGATTCTTTAATAACATTGTTAATGGATAAGCTATTAATTTTCCATTTCAACAAAATTCTTAGCAAATAAAATATTTGAAGTAAAATAAGAAATAACATAGAAAAATTAACAAATGTAAGAGTGAAAGAAAAAGTAGAACTAAAATATAATTTTATAAGATAAACCAAATTTATAAACAATGTTTAATATTGGAATTTATCCCCTATCTATCGTTAGCAACTAAAGTTATAAATTGTTCATTGATTACGCTAACCACTGTGGCGCACCAACCTGGTCACATTTTCCGGATGCTACAAAATTTATGCTTACCTAATTCGATTTCTACATAGCTAGCCGCCTTGATAAATTTTTTGTTCTTCTAGCTGTGTAAATAATATAATGTAAAAATTTTTTTATCTCAAACCGTCTAGCGGCCAAATATACCCGCTTAAAATTTTATTAAGAATATGCCTCCCTATTTCTAAGCTAAAATAAAAATTTGAAATATTTTTAATTAATCATCTTTAAAATTATTAAAGATATTTAAGTTAATTCTAAATTTAATTATAAAAATTTTTGAAAATTTTTGAATTTTTATGTTTTTAAAGAAAAAAATTTTTATTACTATTGTTACAATGCTATGGCCTTCTTGAACACCACATAGCAAGGTAACAAGGTTACCTGGTACAGAGATACTACTATTGGGATATACATGGGTGAAGTGGAGTGTGCTCTAACTTTCACTAGCAGGAGGCAATAGTTCAACATTGGGAACAGTATATAAATCAATACTTTATTTATTATAGGTCAACCTTATCTACTACATCAGCAAAAAAAAATATATATAAATCTTTATAAGTTTTTACATAAGCATAAACTTATGAAAAACTTATAATTAGTTCAGAGTATTACATAAAGGTAATAATTACAAAGTTTATAATATAGTAACTTCAGAGTATTATGTTGGTTTAATAATTATAAACATTTACAATATAGTAAATTTAAATATAGTTAAAAACTAGCAAAACCATGTATAAAACTATGAGAAATTTACATATAACAAACACAGATTGAATCAATAAATAACAAGTATATATCGGGAGACAAATCTTCTGTACCTATTATTCTACTATAGATCTGCCTATACATGTTGGCAAAATTATTTCAAGTTCTAAAACCCGAAATTAAAATTTAAAGACAAAATTGATTTTGACCTATTTTACTTAAAAAACAACATTTTTTGACACTTTTTTTGAATAAATGAAATTATAAGGAGTATAAATATATAAATTTTATTTTCTTTCTTATAAAAAATTTTAATTTGCTCTAATAGAGATGAAATAGGCATTTTTTAAAAATTAATTTTGGTGGCATCACTAGATCTGCCAAATAATTATAGCATATAGATAGCATATTGGTAGTATATACTATAGGTTATATCAGAAAATTTTTATAACAGAAATATATCGATATATAGCAACAAATCAATATATATCGATTAGAAAATATTGATTTATATTGATAAATATATAAAAATGTCAATATATATCTAACAAACAATAGATATCGTAAATAGATAAATATCAATATATATCAAACTAACGTTATATATCATAAAATATATTATCGATATATATTATTAGTTCGATATATATTGCTGTCTAGCTTCTTTATAATTATCGATATCAAATGATAGTTGGTATAGAGCGATATATATCTCCACGATCGAATTTTATCCTCAAAGGAAATAAATTATTACATATCAAATAATTGATATATATCGATAGTATTTTAGCGATATGTCGGGTATTGAAAAAAAAAACAATATATATCAATATTATATTTTCACTAGTATATATATTTGATAATTTGATATTTATCGATTTACAGCTTATAACGGTATTTAGTATTATATTGTTATTTATAGCTTATATAACCTCTATTATTAATTTATTGTAGTACAATATTTAATACTTTTGATTTTCGTAATTATTTTAAAAAATATATCTTTTAAATATTAAAACATGAAAATGTTTACTAAAATATTCATTTTTTTTATCAAATCTCGGAACTATATGAATGGTTTTATCTATACATTCTATTGAGATGCAACCATATTGCTTAATTAATTTTAATCTTGGGCACTCCCATAATTCATCATCATCTTCTTTATACTACCGAACGAGCACGAATTCATGCGGCTCTTTGTCTGCCACTCAGTAAAATTTGAGTATTAACAATACCTTAAAATTAATAATCATTATATTAGTATATAATTACTCACGTAGTTTGATAATAAGAATATTGTTTATCTTCAGATTTGTTTCACTTTCGTTATTACTCGTTATTATTTATTATTATTAATATGATATTAACATTATACTTATATACTTGCAATATCAGATACTTACTAAGCCATACCAATTTACATCTTTATCTTCAACCTCAGCACTAACTATAATATTAGAAAACAAAAGTTTTCCATAGAATTTTGGGGAAGCACGAATTATATCAGTGCTGTTAATTGACGCTGATGCAAAGAATTCTATTCTTGTATTATTATCAATTGATATAGTTAATTCATCTTCAAAAAATTCATCAAGACCAGACAGCAGATTTTGTAAGCCTTCAGTTTGTAAAGAGTCTAAGTCTTTATTTTTTTGGAGAAAGTCATCAATGCCTTCCAAATTTATCGTCTACAACTGCTTTCCAAACCCTTTTGTTTTTCGTTTCCTCTTAGAAACTTCTTTTTAGTTAACTTTTGTCTTTTAACCTAAATTTCAATTATTAATGATATATAACAATTTTTATTTAATAATAGGTTGTGCTGCTTATCTCACTAACAATTATTTCACCGAAAATTCACTTAGTCGACATCACATAGGGTTAGAATTAGTATTTTATTAGTTGCAGGTATATATTTTTAGTGAATTGTCACTTAGTGTGATGTCGGCTAAATGAGCTGTCAGTGAAATGAAAGCAGATCCGGTTGATACTGGAAGAAGAAAAATTTTTTACAAAATTTAATTATCTTGTTAATTATCAATCATGATCAATAGTTAACAAGATTATTAAATTTTGTAAAAATTTCCTTTTAGCTTACCGTCTTTATTATTTGTTTCATATATTCTTTTTTATTTGA